TGTTTTCTTTTTTTTAAATTTTTTTATTTTATTTTATTTTATTTTATGTGTATCAGTCTGTGTGAAGGTGTTAGATCTTGCAGTTAGAGTTGTTAGCTGCCATGTGGTGCTGGGAACTGAACCCAAGTTCTCTGGAAGAGCAGTCAGTACTCTTAACTACTGAGCCATCTTTCCAGCCCCCCAAAGCTGTGTTTTCTTTAAAAAAAAAACCAAATAACTATGGGGGGGTGGCACATGCCTTTAACCTCCGCACTTGGCAGATCTCTGTGAGTTTGAGGCCAGCCTGGTCTACACATCATATTCCAGGGCAGCCAGGGTTATAATGTGAGACTCTGTCTCAAAGAATAAAATAACATGAAGAAAATAACTAAAATGGTTTTGGGTGCCAGAGAGATGGCTCAGTCGTTAAGAGCACTTGCTGCTCTCCCAGAGGACAGAGTTCAGCTCCTAACACTCAGGTAAGGGAGCTCACAACCATCTGTAGCTCCAGGTCCAGGGGATTTGACACCTCTGGTCTCTGAGAATATCTACACTCTCATGCACATGTCCACATTAGATACACACACCTACATATAATGAAACATATAAACACATCAGAAACAAACAAACGAAGAACTGCAACCCCCCCCCAAAAAAAAAAAACCCTATCATGGCCTAGTACAATGGATTCAGGGTAAAAGCGTGGGGCTGGTGACCTGAGATTGAGCCCCAGAACCCATGAAAAGGTTGAAGGCAAGAATTGACTCCACACTGTTGTCCTCTGAAGTCCAAATATGTCATGACACACAGGCACGCTAATGATGGGGTTGGGGGCAGAGCACACTCAGCAGTTAAGAGCACTTGTCAGTCTTGTATAGGACACTTGTACAGGTTCAATTCCCAGCACCAATATGGTGACTTAGCAACCATCCCAAAGGACCCACCACCGTCTTCTGGCCTCTGAGGTCACTAGCACACAACTGGCACACATAAGTTCATGCAGGCATAACACTCATACATGAGAAAGAAGTAAATCTCAAGAAAACAAATTTTTTGAAGAGTAGTCATGTTGTGAGGGGGGGAAATATTGAAAATTAAACTAATTATGTGGTTTTTTATTTTTTATTGCTTTGTAAATAATACCATTCAAAATTTCCACTTCCTCCCCACTCCCATTTCCCTCCCACTCCCCCTCCAGTCATAAGAGAGGGCAGGGTACCCTGCCCTGTGGGAAGTCCAAGGCCCTCCCTGCTCCATCCCCGCTCCATCCAGATCTAGGAAGGTGTGCATCCAAATGGACTAGGATCCCAAAAAGCCAGTACATGCAGTAGAAACAAATCCTAGTGCCATTATCATTGGCTTCTCAGCCCTCATTGTCAGCCACATTCAGAGAGTCCGGTTTGATCACATGCTCGTTCAGTCCCAGTCCAGCTGGCTTTGGTGAGCTCCCATTAGATCAGGTACACTGTCACAGTGGGTGGACCAACACCTCTCAGTCCTGACTTCCTTGCTCATCTTCTCCCTTTTTCTGCTCTTCAACTGGACCTTGGGAGCTCAGTCCAGTGCTCCAGTGTGGGTCTCTGTCTCTATCTCTATCCATCGCCAGACGAAGATTCTATGGTGATATGCAAGATATTCATCAGTGTGACTATGGGACAAGGCCAGTTCAGGCACCCTCTCCTCTATTGCCCAAGGACCTAGCTGGGGACATCCCTGTGGACACCTAGGATTCCCTCTAGAGCCAAGTCTCTTGCCAACCCTAAAATGGCTCCCTTAATTAAGATATCTTCTTCCCTGCTCCCATATCCACCCTTCCTCCTTCTCAACCATCCCACTCCCTCAAGCTCTCCCAAATCCTTCCCTTCTCCCCTCTCTCTCCCCCCACCCCATGCTCCCAACTTTTGCCAGGAGATCTTGTCTGCTTCCAATTTCCTGGAAGATCTATATATGTTTTTCTTTGGATTCACCTTCTTATTTAGCTTCTCTAGGATCGCAAACTATAGGCTCAATGTCCTTTGTTTATGACTAGAGTCCACTAATGAGTGAGTACATACCATATTCATCTTTTGGGGTCTGGGTTATCTCATTCAGGATAGTGTTTTCCATCCATTTGCATGCACAATTCAAGATGTCATTGTTTTTTACTTCTGAGTAGTACTCTAATGTGTATATGTTCCACACTTTCTTGATGCATTCTTCCATTGAGGGGCATCTAGGTTGTTTCCAGGTTCTGGCTATTACAAATAATGCTGCTATGAACATACCCCAGTAGCACAGACAATAAGAGCAACAATGAATAAATTGGACCTCCTGAAACTGAGAAGCTTCTGTAAAGCAAAGGACACTGTCATTAAGACAAAAAGACAACCTACTGAATGGGAGAAGATCTTGACCATCAGACAAAGGCCTGAACTCCAAAATATATAAAGAACTCAAGAAACTAGATATTAAAATTCTAAATAACCCAATTAAAAAATGGAGTACTGAACTAAACAGAGAATTCTCAACAGAAGAAGTTCAAAAGGCCAAAAGATACTTAAGGTCATGTTCAACCTCCTTAGCGATCAGGGACATGCAAATCAAAACAACTTTGAAATACCATCTTAAACCTATCTTCTCTGGTCCCAGCACTTAGCTGGTTCAGCTGGTTCAGTTCAGAGAGTTCAGGGATTCTACTGGCTTCACAGAAAGGCGCAGTCTCAACATGAATGAAGGAGCACACAGCGAAGCTCACCAGTGCTATCTGCTGCTTGATGGCTCTCGAGCCACTCTGTCTTCTGCCTTTTCTCTGCTTCTTTCTTCTAACATTCTTTTTGCTAATTCCTCTTCTTGTTTCCTCTTATTTCCTTATCCAACATTTCCTTTCCAGTTTTTCTCCTTTCAATTTCCTTCTTAATCTCTCTCTGAATCAAAGAAAAGTGTGATGAACCCAAACCACAATCTAATCTTCTGTCCCAGACAATATTCTGATGTAAGGATTGTAGAGTGCAGTTGAAAGAACAGAACGTCATAAAATTGTCTGCTGCTGATATGGGTCAGTGAGGACAAGTGTCTGCCACCAGAGTTTACTCTATGGACACACATGATGGAAGGAGAAGATGTTTGCAGAGGCAACAGGTGACCTTACGTCACTGAGCCGTCTTCCCACTCCCATCCCCGTTTTGATTCTCTGAATTTGTTTTTTCTAGACAGTCTTACTAGCTCTGGCAGATCTCAAACTCACTATGTCTGCTCACCTGCCCTCAACCTCAGAGATCCACGCACCTCAGCCTCGGGAGTGCTGAGTTAAAGATGGGCATCACCCTTGTTTCACAGGGGAACAGATTGGAGAGGGGTTCATGTTTCTTGTGTCAGATTTCATCTGATTTGTTCAGGTATTTTCAAATTCCTGTCCTTGTATGAAGTTTGTTATTGTAACCTTCATTACTGGCAAGAATGAAGATTCTTTAAGAGAAAACCCTGTTCCTATGTCTAGGGAACAGTTTGAACAGGGAAGCCCATGGAATTAGGATTTCCCCGGGAATTCCATGCAGCCTTTGGGTAGGGCAAGAACAAAAGCTGAAACTAAGTTCCAGTCAGGGAGGGAGCTTGTCTTCAGGGAAGGAACTGCACACAGACACACAGGTCAACTTCTCAGACTGCTCTGCAGGAGAAACTGAATGGTCAGTGAGGGGCAGGACCACACCTTGACCTGAACTGCTGATCTGTGCCCTTTATTTAACCTTAAACCTCAGGGACTGGAGAGCTGTGCCGTGGTTAAGAACTGCTGCTCAGCAGAGGACCCGGTTTGATTCCCAGCATCTATATGGTAACTCAAAACCATGTGTAAGTCCAGTGCCAGGGGATCTGACACCATCTTCTAGCCTCTGAGGCTACCTGACGTGTATGTGATGTTTCTTTGTGTTGCACTGGCTGTCTTGGAACTGCTTAGTAGACCAGGTTGACCTGGAACTCACAGAGATCTGCCTGTCTCTGCCTCCTGAGAGCTGGGATTAAGGACATGTCACTACCATCTTGCAATAAATCTTTGAAAATAACAAAACTCATGTCACAACCCTGAAATTAGAAGTTCAACAAGCCCCTTTATTCTCTCCACCATGACCACAGTGAATAATTCTTTCTGTTTTTTTTTTTTTTTCACCTTTATGTATCTGGCATTTGGGGGCTAGTGACTGAGCTTAGCCTGTTGGGGCTGCCAGGGTTCGGACACCCTAACTAGAGCACAAATATTTGGGTTCAACCTGACAACCAGAAAAGCAAAGCAGCCACGCCACTAGAGAAGTTTTTCCTCTACAAAGGCTGGGTGACCACAGACTAAGCAGACTAAGCCTCTCTTTCCTCCCATTTTATATGCCCTGTAGTGCTGGCATTAAGGGCATATGACTCCCTAGAACTGGAATTAAAGGTGTAGGGCACCACCACCTGCATTTATTGCTTCATTGATCTTGTGTAGCCCAGGGTGGCCTTTAACTCACAGAGATCCATCTTCTCTGTCTCTCAAAACCTGGAATTAAAGGTGTGTGCCACCACTGCCTGAGCTCTAGTGATTTACCTTTGCCCTTCTGATATTTAGGCAAGCTTTATTTATTAAAATATTAACAAAATTTCACTATGCCTAACAAATCCAATAACATTATCCCATGGTTTGTACATTTGTAAAGACTAGGGTGGAGTAGACAGCTCGATGGTAAGGTCCTTGCTGTACAGCAACGGGGACCTGAGTTTTGATGCTCAGTGCTCTTGTAAAAAGCCAAGAGTGATGACACAACTGTAATTCTGCACTGAAGAGGCTGGGACAGGCAGCTCCCTAGGGCTCACAATCGGGGAATAAGCCCAAGATCTACCTCTGGCCTCCACATGTTTGTGCACACACAAGTTCATGAACATGTATACAGAAGTGCAGACAAGTTTTGTTTTGTTTCTATGAAGATTACACTGTTTGAAGTTACCAAGTTCTCATTTAACGATCCTAGATAACACAGTTAAATATTGTGGGGATAATCACTGTTTTTTACAGCTTCAACTGTGTTATAAGGTCCAGATTCCTACCAGTGCTTCTAACCATTCCTTGAAGATGGATCTGCCCTGGACAGCACTCTTCCTGAGCACTGTCCTCCTGAGTCTTTCATGCCAGGGGATTGACCTGGAACCCGACAGAAATTTTATTTCAGCCGCTGGTCCTCTTACAAATGACTTAGTGCTTAACCTGAGCCATCCACTGGGAACCCAGGGCTCTGGTTTTGGACCTGGTAGCAAGGACTTCTACGTCTGCCAGCAGCCATTGCCCTCTTTGTTGCCACAGTACTTGAGCAGTCTCCGTGCCAGTCAGGTCACCCATTACAAAGTACTTCTATCGTGGGCACAGCTTCTCCCAACGGGAAGCCCCAAGAATCCAGACCAGGAAGCAGTGCGGTGCTACCGACAACTCCTGCAGTCCCTGAAGGCTGCCCAGCTTCAGCCCATGGTGGTCCTGTGCCACCAGACGCCACCCACCCGCGGCACCATCCAGAGAGACAGGGACTTTGCTGACCTCTTTGCCGACTATGCCACGTTCGCCTTCCAGTCCTTTGGGGACCTTGTTGAGATCTGGTTCACCTTCAGCGACTTGGAGAAAGTGATCATGGGTCTTGCCCCCCAGGGTTCGAAAGTTTCTGCTCTGCAAACCCTCAGCAATGCCCACAGGAAAGCCTTTGAAGTTTACCACAGAGAGTTCTCTTCTCAGGGTGAGTACACACGGACATGGTGGCCCGGCAGCAGCCCTCACCACCCACCTCTGTTTGCTTCTTAGGCAGGAACTGATGTCTCTCCCATCTCTGCCCTTCCAGGAGACCCCAGATCTCAGCATTGGTGAGAATCCATTCCCAAAGGGGACAAACATATATATATATATAAACACACAGCATTGTCTGAAATGCCTTTTCTCTTCCTTAGAGATAGTGTCTCTTGTAGTCCAGGCTGGCTCACTGTGAGGTCAGAAGATAAGTTTGAACCTCGGATCCTCCCAAATTCACATCCTGAGTTCTAAGATGACAGACACGCCACCACAACCAGTTTTATGTAGGGCTGGGGCTTGTGCATGCCAGGCAAGCGCTCTAACCACTGAGCCATATCCTAAGCTCCTGAAAATTGTGTGTCTGTCTGTGCGTGTGTGTGATTTTATTTTTATTTTAGATATGCAGGTGTTTTATCCACATGTTTGTCTGAGTACCATGTGCATGCCTGTGTCCTCAGATCCCCTGGAACTGGAGTTACAGACGGTTTTGAGTTGCCATGTGGGTGCCAGGAATCAAACCAGGGACCTCTGGAAGAGCAGCCTGTGCTCTTAATGCTGAGCCATCTCTCCAGCCCTTGAAAACTATCTTCTAGACCCTTCCTCAGGTCAAGTCTGTGCAACTGTCTTTCTCTGCCCTTCCTTGAAGGGAAGTTTATAAAGTCAGGATTCCTCCCACTTTCTTCTGACAGCTCCTTGAACCTGGAGCTGCCTTGGAGAGACAGTGCTGTCCTGAGTCTCTACAAGGAGACCCAATTGTGATTCCCCTTCTTTTAAGGAAACAAGTGTGTACCTTTTAGTTGGAGCTTACAGTGCATCAAGCAAGGTAAAGATAAATAACACACTGATGTGTAATGAGAAGACTGTGATTTGTAAATGTACGATGGAGACTGAAGCTAAGACCTTGCCCACGAGAGGCAAGTGCTAGATCTACAACTGTACTGACTTATTTTTACTAGGAACAGAGTACATCGCAGCGACTAGTGCTGTGTGTAAATTCTTGCCACCTTCTGATCATTCCTTCTGATACCGCCTTCAAATTGAAATTAGCCAGGTGTGGAGGTGCATGTCTCTAAATCTAGCACTTGAAAGACTGAGTGTGAGGATTGTAAGTTCAGAGTCAGCCTGGAGTGAAGATCTCTGTGAGTTCAAGACCAGCCAGTGCTACATAGTGACATATCCATCCTCTCAAATAAGAAAAGAGAGAAAAAATGAAGCCAGTGTTTTAAAATAGCGACATTCTTTAAAAAAAAAAAAGCATAATGCTGTTTACACCATTGCTACAATGTTGCTGTTCTATCCTATTCTATCAATTTAAATGATGTACTTTTTGTAATACATAGTGTGAATATAAGAAATAAACTCTTAGGTAGTCATAGCCTTTAATTCAAGTACTTGCAGGCAGAGGCAGGTGGACCTCTGTGAGTTCAAGATGAGTCTGGTCTATATTGTGGTAGTCTGGCTTGGGGAAAAAACAAAACAAAACCCAAATATTAACCAAAAAAAACTAAAAAGAAGCTAAATTTTCTGTTAAATATTTAAAACCTAGGTGGGTTATTGTAGTAAGAGGACACTAGTTAGTTCCCAGCTGCTCAGCCCCAAAATAACCACCCAGAAATTAAATCACTGCTTGACCCGATAGCTCTAGCTTCTTATTGACTAACTCTTACATATAAATTTAGCCCATCTCCATTAATCTGTGTATCACCATGTGGCTGAGGCTTACTGGGTAAAGTTCCAGCATCTGTCTCCAGCGGGGACTACATGGCTTCTCCTGACTCTGCCTCCTTTCTTCTAACATTCAGTTTTGTTTTCCCCACCTAGCTCTACTCTACTCTATCACAGGCCTAAGACAGTTTATTAGTCATTGGTATTCACAGCATACTGAGGGGAATACCACATCAGGTTATGATGTAAATCTTTAGTCCTAGTACTGAGGAAGCAGAGGCAGGTGTATATCTGAATTCAAGGGTCTACAGAATGAGTTCCAGGACAGCTAGGGCTGCACAGAGAAACCCATCTCAAAAACAATCATACAAAAAAGCCAAACTTAAATGAGCACTAAGGTTGAGTGCTTGCACAGCAGAGTGCTTGCCCTACGTGCAGGAAGCCATGGGTTCCAATTCCTGCATTGCATGAACTGGGCATAGTGACACATGTCTGTAAGCCAAGCACCGGAAGGTGGAAGCAGGATGGCCAGAAGTTCAAGGTTGCCTTGGGAGCTGAAGGCAGAAGGATCAATTCAAGGTCATCCTCGTCCACTTGGAAATTTGGAGGCTAGCTTGGACTACATGAAATCCTGTCTCCAAAAAGGCATTGGGAGTCAAGGTGGTGGAGAGATGGCTCCTGATTGGCTAAGAGTTATTGCTGTCTTCCAGAGGACCAGAGATTAGTTCTCAGCACCCACATCAAATGGCTCACAACCACCTGTAATTCCAGCTCCAGGGATCCCACACTTTCTTCTGGCCTCTGTTGACATCTATATATGCATTTCATATGCTCACATAGACATAGAAATCTCAACATAAATAAAATAACTGTGTATTTTTAAAAGGGTTGTTATGTTCCTGGGCACATCTGTATCTTTACCCTTGACTCTAAATCTGGTGGGTCCTGACATTAGTCTTCTTTTTCTTTTTACTTTTTCCTAAATTTCATATATTAGTTGTGTATGTGAATCAGGTTTTTTCATCAGAATGTGTGTATGTACTTATTAAATAGATTTAATGTCCTATTTTTGTTTGTTTGTTTTTGATTTTTTTTTGTTTGGTTTGGTTTAGTTTTGCAATATAAGGCTTCTCTCTGTAGCCCTGACTGGCCTGTAGCTCACCCTGAAGACTGTGCTGACCTCAAACTCAGAGATCCCCCTGTCTCTGCCTTGCAAGTGCTGGGTTAAGGGCGTGCACCACCCCTACCAGCAGCTCTGTATTTTCTACCCCTGCTCTCCAGGCAGTTGTGGTGCACACACAAGCTTGAGAGCTGTCACCATGCTGCGGGAGAGCTGAACAAAACGAGTGCACACATCAGTATTTCCTGTGTTTCCCCAGCAAGGCACAGTAGCTGCAATGAGGACAAAGACACAGCAGGTTCTGGAGAGCACCCTGACTTTGGGTTTTGTTTGTGATAGGTGACAGCTCTAGTCCTGATTGTCCAGAGATATAGCTGGGGTTATAGCCGAGATGACCTCAGGCTTCTGATCCTGCTTTCTTCTCCTTTTCAAGTGCTGGGATCACAGACAGGTGCCACCATGCCTGGTTATGCTGTGCTGGCTATCAGTCCCTGGGCTTGTCAATCAATCAATCATCCATCCCTGGGCTTGTCAGTCAATCAATCACCCATCCCTGGGCTTGTCAATCAATCAGTCCTTGGGCATGGTCCACGCTCTCTACCAACTGACCTCTGTCATCAGCCTGGAGCAATTGGCCTTTAAATAGAGTTTGGAAAAGGGTTCTCTTGTCACTTTAGGATAATTCCTTTTATGTTAATTTTTCCAAGTATTCTGTATGTGGGTCTTGATTCGTACACAACAGTCTCTTAGCCAGGCATGGTGTCACACAAGTTTTGTCCAAGCACTTGGGAGGCAGAGGCAGGCAGATCTCTGTGAATTCAAGGCCAGCTGACTCCCAGGACATCCAGGATCACTCAGTGAAACATGGTCTAAAAAATCCAAATAAAAACCAACCTAATCTCTTAGTGAGATATTGTATTTTTAGACACTTTGTTTTCTGGAGTCTGTCAGTTGCTAAAGAGAAGTCATGGTCCTGATCTATCTCTTCAGAAGCCCCAACCCTCCCTCAACTACTGCTCTTTTCTTTTCCAGGAGGGAGGCTCTCTGTGGTCCTGAAGGCTGAAGATATTCCCGAGCTCCTGCTCTCCCCATCCTGGGCTGCACTCGCCAAGGTAGATACTGCATCTGTAATGCCTAGGGTGAAATGTGATTGTATTTATTTATTTATTTTGAGATGAGGCCTGTGTAAGAGGAAAAGAGTGCGAGGCTGCTCAGTGGCAGTGGCGCAGGTATATTTGAGTCAACCTGAGAAGGGCGCCATCAGAGAAGACCAGATTGAGCTTCCCCATGGGCTAGGGTTTTTATCAGGGATGGGGAGGAGGGTT